TAATCGAAATGGTCGTTTACAAAACTAATGTAATTGGCATGATAATCGAAATGGTCGTTTACAAAACTAATGTAATTGGCATGATAATCGAAATGGTCGTTTACAAAACTAATGTAATTGGCATGATAATCGAAATGGTCGTTTACAAAACTAATGTAATTGGCATGATAATCGAAATGGTCGTTTACAAAACTAATGTAATTGGCATGATAATCGAAATGGTCGTTTACAAAACTAATGTAATTGGCATGATAATCGAAATGGTCGTTTACAAAACTAATGTAATTGGCATGATAATCGAAATGGTCGTTTACAAAACTAATGTAATTGGCATGATAATCGAAATGGTAGTTTACAAAACTAATGTAATTGGCATGATAATCGAAATGGTCGTTTACAAAACTAATGTAATTGGCATGATAATCGAAATGGTAGTTTACAAAACTAATGTAATTGGCATGATAATCGAAATGGTCGTTTACAAAAATAATGTAATTGGCATGATAATCGAAATGGTAGTTTACAAAACTAATGTAATTGGCATGATAATCGAAATGGTCGTTTACAAAACTAATGTAATTGGCATGATAATCGAAATGGTAGTTTACAAAACTAATGTAATTGGCATGATAATCGAAATGGTCGTTTACAAAAATAATGTAATTGGCATGATAATCGAAATGGTCGTTTACAAAAATAATGTAATTGGCATGATAATTGAAATGGTCGTTTACAAAACTAATGTAATTGGCATGATAATCGAAATGGTCGTTTACAAAACTAATGTAATTGGCATGATAATCGAAATGGTCGTTTACAAAACTAATGTAATTGGCATGATAATCGAAATGGTAGTTTACAAAACTAATGTAATTGGCATGATAATCGAAATGGTCGTTTACAAAACTAATGTAATTGGCATGATAATCGAAATGGTCGTTTACAAAACTAATGTAATTGGCATGATAATCGAAATGGTCGTTTACAAAACTAATGTAATTGGCATGATAATCGAAATGGTCGTTTACAAAACTAATGTAATTGGCATGATAATCGAAATGGTCGTTTACAAAACTAATGTAATTGGCATGATAATCGAAATGGTCGTTTACAAAACTAATGTAATTGGCATGATAATCGAAATGGTCGTTTACAAAACTAATGTAATTGGCATGATAATCGAAATGGTCGTTTACAAAACTAATGTAATTGGCATGATAATCGAAATGGTCGTTTACAAAACTAATGTAATTGGCATGATAATCGAAATGGTCGTTTACAAAACTAATGTAATTGGCATGATAATCGAAATGGTCGTTTACAAAACTAATGTAATTGGCATGATAATCGAAATGGTCGTTTACAAAACTAATGTAATTGGCATGATAATCGAAATGGTCGTTTACAAAACTAATGTAATTGGCATGATAATCGAAATGGTCGTTTACAAAACTAATGTAATTGGCATGATAATCGAAATGGTCGTTTACAAAACTAATGTAATTGGCATGATAATCGAAATGGTCGTTTACAAAACTAATGTAATTGGCATGATAATCGAAATGGTCGTTTACAAAACTAATGTAATTGGCATGATAATCGAAATGGTCGTTTACAAAACTAATGTAATTGGCATGATAATCGAAATGGTCGTTTACAAAACTAATGTAATTGGCATGATAATCGAAATGGTCGTTTACAAAACTAATGTAATTGGCATGATAATCGAAATGGTCGTTTACAAAACTAATGTAATTGGCATGATAATCGAAATGGTCGTTTACAAAACTAATGTAATTGGCATGATAATCGAAATGGTCGTTTACAAAACTAATGTAATTGGCATGATAATCGAAATGGTCGTTTACAAAACTAATGTAATTGGCATGATAATCGAAATGGTCGTTTACAAAACTAATGTAATTGGCATGATAATCGAAATGGTCGTTTACAAAACTAATGTAATTGGCATGATAATCGAAATGGTCGTTTACAAAACTAATGTAATTGGCATGATAATCGAAATGGTCGTTTACAAAACTAATGTAATTGGCATGATAATCGAAATGGTAGTTTACAAAACTAATGTAATTGGCATGATAATCGAAATGGTCGTTTACAAAACTAATGTAATTGGCATGATAATCGAAATGGTCGTTTACAAAAACTGTTTTCTTAGCCTTCTTCTGGGTTCTCATCTAAAATAAAATTAATAATTTAAAAAAAATGCATGCAAAATATAGATGGGGCATTTTGTTTATTATTCTGACATTGAAAAGAGAAAAGCAGTTGGGAAGTTAATAATAATATAATATAGGCTGAGTTTGAAAAAAAAAAAATACAAATCTATTTTTCAGGAACTTTTGTTACAAAATTCTCATATTTAAAGACAACAAAAATACTTTCGATTTAATGATAATTGATGAAACGTGCGCGACTTTTTATGCGCCCTTTAAATTCTAAAAAAAAACTGTTCAACAAAAGCATGACGCCATGCCATCATACAATTTATAATTAACACATATCCCTACTGCCTATACTTTAAAAGTTATACTTTTATGATGAAATGCGCCTACAATTTGACAATAGACTGCACGTGTTTAATACTTGACTAACTATTATTAAACCTGTAGATCTTTCTAGGTACGTAAATGTATTTTAAATGCAGTGTCATTAAGTCCTTGAACTTGTGAAGTTGCAAAAATAAATCAATAAAAATACCGAAACGTGCGAAGAACATGAAGCAAAACTGAAGCGGCCAGTACGACATTTATAGAGCCTACTGTAAGATTCTAAAATTATTAGTTTAAATAATATACGGATCATCAAATCTATCGAGCCTAGCGATATTTGATAGATTCCACGAATTAATTGTAACCGGCTAAAGGCACCAGTTACTACGGGGTTTTGAAACTGTTCAAAAATGACAATTTCATCAATTTTAATTAAAAAAATATGTTTTCGTTATATTGTTGTACACATTTTGCCCGGTGGGCACTTGACGTGCTCGGGGGGGGGGGGGGCAACCCAACCCCATGAACGCCCCCAGAAACTTTACAAAGGGGGGGGGGGGGGGCAAATGCCCCACCTTGCCCTACCTGAGGACGCCCATGCACTCCAACAACCCCCCCCCCCACACACACACCCAATCCATCCGGAAAGATGTCTGAAAGAAATACTGGGATGAATCGCAGCTTCAGAGTCATGGGAGTGTGAAATGTTCAATTCACTCAGTCACTCCCTACCTTTAGTTGTTCTTCAACGTGTTGGTCCTCTCTTGACCGTGTTGGTCCTCTCTTGACCGTGTCGGTCCTCTCTTGACCGTGTCGTTGATGTGGACCCAGTATTTAGGTTACAGCATGTCTACACTCATCATCATCTTATGATTTCTTCTCTGACTTGGCCGACTTCTCGGCCCACACGGCACTTAGATTTGACGTTTGTTGGTCTGTCCTTGTTATCCATATCCATTGTACCGGTACTAGGATTCATAAATCTGTAACTGTCGATCCATAGGTTTATCTTTGACTACGACTAGTACCACTCTCACTGGGTCTGTCACTTCAGAATGACCGTCCACGAATCTCTCTCTAACTCAACTACTCGTGTCTTCAAAAACTGTTCTGTTATATTTCCCGTAACGTGACTATAAAATAAACAGCAAAATACGCGCCCCACGGTCATTGAATTGCTACCTAAATAAAGACAACATTCTCCCGACAAGATCCTTTACCCCCGACGCCTTGAGCATGTCTCTACCCACTGATTAGCACCGATCATGTTGATTTTTAAAAAATCTCTGATAATTAATCCAAGGCCCCCCATTGTCTTCGTGAACATCCCACTATTTTTTTTGTTTTGCGGTTAACTACACAATTCATTATCCGAACTCTTACGTGATACCTGTTCCCACACTGTCCACCTGGTGGCTCCCTGCCTCGCCAGCTACCATGTCTCCCTTGTACTACCATAAACTCTGCCGATGTCAGGTTAACTACTCCCTCATCTGTTGTACATTGGTACGGTACCTACGCCCATCGCCTCCCTTCTCACACATGTTCATTTGTGAGATATGCAAAGAAATAATATGTCTTTTTATAGAGACTATTTTATATTCATAGGGACAAAGTTAAAATACTACAATTTTTTAGTATAAAATTATATTTTCTAGGGGAGGTGGTCATGTGACCCATACTGCGGGCACCCATGCTCGGTGGGATCCCGTTACCCCTTAGAATGCCGTTCATGTTTGGATCTATTCTCTGTTGTGATATTGTTATCTGGTGGCATCCCGTTTTCTCAGTTGGATCCCGTTCCCCGATAGGATGAAACATAATAAAAAATGATGAGGGCATTTAAATAATCTTTTTAAAAAAAAAAAAACGGTTATAGAAAAGAAATAATAATAATATAGAAACTACATCAAACATATAAAAAGATGACTTAGTGATGATAGCCTACTGAGAAAATCTACAGTGAAAATGGAATTAAATAAATAACTTCTTTCTTTTTTTTTCTTTCTTATTTTCAGGTTTTTCCATACTTTGTTTCGAACATTCCCATTTTTCTAACCTGATTGCAGTCTCTCTATTCTTGTTATGGTAAAAGGCTAAACTAAGGGAGATAATTCAAATATTCTCCATACTATTAGCTCTTATATGTTGGAACATACAAAATGCTGAACACAGAAAAAAAAAAAGGGAAGAATTTGTATCGTAGTAGTAATCGTTCAAATATAAGATTCTACACTATCCTGTAGGAGCCATATTTTAGATATTTACCACCAATACATAATCATAACACATAAAATTTGTCATCTTTTGTAATTAACATCTCCTTATTAAAAATAAAGGAACAATTCCACAATTTAAAAAAAATAAATAAAAAAAAATATAGTCCACGATTTATTTAAATACTTCATTAGGGCTAGGCCAAGAGTAATTCTTTGAATTAATGCAATATCGATTCTTTAAAACATAAAGCAGTGAAAAAAAAAAAAAAAACACTAAATAATAAACTAAAGAAAAAGTATTAGTCAAGGCCTCGGACGAAATGTCACAATGTCGAGTTATCCTCGGCGTTCGAACTTAATAGAAGGTGTGGGAAATGAGGTTCTTTTTGGATTCGTAACATTCACTAGTAGTTTGGTAGGGATTCTGTTTTACCTTAACCATAGGTAATATTTTATTATTTTTGCTTTAAAATATTACAAAATTCTAGTCTATTACTTAACTTTTATTTAATTAAAATTTTTATTTAGTTCAACTTTTTATCATTTTTATGCATTCATAATATAATAATATATTAATATATTATTTAAAATATATGACCTGATGTATTCGGGATAATAACCTTTTATAATGACTAATAATGGCCATAATGGTAGGCATATTGGGAAAATTTCTACCTGCTATTGCGAAACCAAAAGTCAAAGCTTATCACAATTCCTTATTTTAAAAAGTTTAAAAAAGAAGTATCTATGTAATGATGTTTAAACTTTTCTAACATTAAGTTTTGAGAAGTATTTTTCTGCTATATATTATACGCCTACTCGACACCTTTTCTCATCCCCAAACTACAATTTTTTTCTCTAAACTCTAAACATGACCTTAAATTAAAAAAAAATACAAAGCTAAAATGTGATGTGTTTGGCTAACAATTTTAAAAGCAATCAATTATATTTATTAATTTTACTTTTAAAAGGGGGAAAATACATTATAAGTTTTGTGACCTACTACCTAGAACTTGTGCCTATTTTAACTTAACCCTTTCGTTACTGCTGGGTTTTTGGGCATCGATTTTTGATGACTCAGAAGCAAAAATCTTTTTTTTTTTTTTTTAATGAAGAAATTTTCGGTATATTTCATTCTCTATCCGATTCGCTTTTTAACTTCTCAATAGATTAACGAATAAAGAAATATATAGCATCTAAATATGAAGTCGACGTGACGTCCTTGGTATTTCAGAAAAGTTCTTTGCCTTTTTGTTATGACGACAATGTCATGTCCTTAATAATTGAAAGTGAGTGATCGTGACGGCGCGTTGATGTCATCAGTAGTGAAGTGGTTAAAGACCTCAAACTATTTAGGCATACTCTACGTGACACACCCCCCACCACCACGAGTGATGTTACTTATGGATGGCCCCTAAATAGAAGTCCTTAGTAATAGCAATAAAAGTATTAGGCCTACTATGATTATGACATGCCTTTATAAACTACAGTAGAACCCGGTTAAGTGGACCCCCTCGGGGTTTGCCAAAAAACGTCATGATAACCGATGATCGAGATAATCGAAAACCAATATGGCGGCAATATATTAACTTGGGCTTGAAATTTCTTTATGTACACCATGTGCGTTTATAAATGAGATGGATGTGCACATGTATTTTGGAGATTTTTATTATGCAACAGCGTTACCGCGATTTGTTTGATAAAGCATTGGGCATGCTATAAAAATGTACATAGCTGTTTGCTAACAACACAAGGGATATGTAGGGTGCCATTTTTCCGGATTATACCGGAATTCAGGATTCGTGAGGCTAAATATTTTTCAGCTCCGGATTCGCAAGTTTTTATTTTCTCTTGCTCCGGGTTCGCCTGTTCAGTTTATTCAAATACAGATTCTAGGTTTTAAAAAAAAATCGACCTGTAAGAACTCCTGAAAGCCTATTAAGTATTAATCGACAAGCAGGTTCTATAAATAGAACAGCTAACCCGAACCCTCTCTTTTGTTTGCAAGCCTCTCGCTTCTTGCTGTGTCAAGCTTATTGCGCAGACGATGTTGTCATTTCATTTCAAATACTACAGTATAAAGTACGCACGTTTCTGTTGTATATAATTTTCAAAAGCCCGTGATTGGTCATGGAGATCGAGATAACCGAGGTTAAGTGGCAAATTTGGCCGCCATTTGTACTCGAGATATCAGGGTTCAGCGACATAAAAAATCGACATAACTGAGGAGAAAATGCTAAGACAAAGAGAGAATTAGGCGGTTCCACTTCAAAAACATTGACATAACAGGGTTGTTGAGTTAACTGAGGTCGAGATAAACGGGTTCGACTGTACTATATTTATTATTTATCTTGGCCTTATCAGTCAGTATTATTTAGAAATAAGAAAACAAGTGCGTTTAAAATTTTATTTTTGTGGTTGTAATGAGTAGGCCTACTGAAACTCACTTGTGTGATGGGAGAAATTTAAAATATTTTTTATTAAATAACTTTTAAAGGCCAAAATATAATTTCAATGTGCTGCAAGAGTCATCAGGTTTCAAGTAAATTGTTTGAAAATACTCTATAAACTAAATTAAATATTTGCCATATTTAAAAAGTCCTTTCATTGTCAAAATAAATTACTGGTCGGACTTTAAGTCCGTTTAATTTTTTTTTATTTCTGACTGAGGTTAGTGAGTACAAGGTCAAAATAAGAGGAAAATGTTCAGAAATGTAAAAATGAAATGTTGCAATATTGTAAATAATATAATTAATTTTTTAAATTGAAATATTATAAATATTCAAATTTAAGAAGAATATATGTTTTAAGTTTTATTTGCTATTACATGATAAATTGGTTCAAATTATTGTGTTATTATTATTAATAACGGTAATAATGTTTGTTCTTTTATATGAGCATGTCTTCCAATCTATTCAAAACTATTCTTACATTTAGACAGCGTCTCGGGACTACAATCCACCCAGATAGTGCAACAGAAGTTGCAAGTACTCGTGAGCAGCTTCAGAATGAGGCACAAGGTAGCCAGCGGCCAAATCAGAGACGAGCAAATCATCGCAACGACGGACAACTTACATGTCCAATATGTTTAGGATCTGCCTCTTTTGCGGTGGAAACCAATTGTGGACATGTATATTGCGGTAATAATTGACATTACATTTTTGCGGGTAGCATAATATGAAAAATATAAGAAACAAGTGATAAAAAGTTTAAATTATTTATTATTATGAGACCTTACACTTACAATACTTACATGATAGATATGATTTAAAAAAAAAAAAATGTAAAGTGCTTACCATTTCAGGCCATTGTTTTATCATGTATTGGGAGCACCAAACATGGATGGGTGCTGTCCGCTGTCCATCATGTCGTACTCAAGTAAGTGTTTTTCTATACATTATTAAGGGAAGATAATTTATCTAGGTTGTTTTTTTTCATTAACATTGGACGTATGAGAGAGGCAAAGCAAATGTATCCATTTAATTTTCTCACACATTGCAAAGTCTACAAACCTTTGTTTTATGTCTGTAAGAAATGAAAGGGAAATTCTTTTAAATGAAAATTTATGAAGTTTTACAAAGTTAAGATTTGAAAACATATTTAAAGTAAATAAATGTGAATGGTCACTTTGCAGGTCTCCTTACTGCTGTTAAATTTCACATCACAAGAACACGCACTTGAGACTGATGAGAGGCTTCAAGTCATTGATAAAGTAAACCAATATAACAGAAGATTTTCTGGAGAACCTAGAACTGTAAGTCAAAGAGATGATAACACATGATGCTTATTGTAAGTCGCAGACATGATATATGATGGTTATAACTGTAAGTCACAGACATGATACATGAGGCTTATAACTGTAAGTCACAGACATGATACATGATGCTTATAACTGTAAGTCACAGACATGATACATGATGCTTATAACTGTAAGTCACAGACATGATACATGAGGCTTATAACTGTAAGTCACACAGATGATAAAACATGATGAGTTAAACATTTTCATTTTTTATATGACCTTTCCCCAAACCAACACTGTGGACAGTAACAAGACCTTCCCCAAGCCGACAAACTGTGGACAGTAACAAGACCTTCCCCAGTCCACAAACTGTGGACAGTAACAAGACATCAATGAAAAAATAGAAATCTATGTTTAAGTTGCCAATTTTTTATTCTACTCTTTGTCTTAGTTATTGACTCCAGAAATTTCATCCCTGTTCCTGGCATTTTGAGATCTTTTTTTAGTTTTCTGCTTCCCATTTTTTGGCAGTCATTTCTTATTTCCTCTCTCTCTTTCGTACCGTCCCAATGTATAGAAGTTTTATCTTTTAATTTGGTGTGGCAAAAGAACACGTGCCTCGCCATGTGCATTGTTTCTAAAGAACTGAAAGTGAGTTTACGTCCCACCTTTATTAATACCCGTAGTGGCAGTTTCCTCTCTGTAACACATGCTATTTTATTATTGTTGTAGCATGGTTAACTAATACTCCGATTGTCTCGGATGCCGCTATCACTTGCGTAATGTAATTAATTCTCTCACTCCTCAAACTTAACTTGACTGTCCTGTCACACAATGAGGATTCAACGTCCATTAATTAATTTTCACAGTACTTTATTAAATTCTATAACCACATTAAATAATATGCCTTGCTAGGCAGATATCTTGAAACAATTCCAGGATGCAATCATTATACACTTGTACAATATTCCATATTCCATATCACAATTTGAATCGCAATACTACAATACTTCAATAATTCACATGATAGAAAAAAACATGTCTTCTCTCTGTCAGACAACTGGTGTACTACCTTGTTTAACTAAAGCATGCAGTTCACTTACGCTACAAAAATATAGTTCCTCCTCTTTTCTCGTGAAATACGAGGTATTACAACTCAATGCTCAAATTACTACACCATCCTGACATAATAGTGTTGTGTGCAAAATTACAGACAACTTGGTCTGTTACACTTTCATACATGTACAAACAATAGTTTTCACTTGTCATGTTAAAGCCATTGCATGCAGATGAAAGTTTTCTTGCCACAGAAGGTACCAAAAGTGTCATTCTTCAGGCTTAGAAAAGGCTCATTATTTTGGCATAAACAGTCTACCACATTTAGCTAATCAGATTGTAGCAGTTTTTATGTCATCTAATACAACATTTCCAAAATGTATAAGTTTGTGCTGATCCGTGGACCAGTTTTAACTTTTCACCACCAGATTTATTAATTATTTCTTCTTTTTATTTGACGATAAATATTCATATTGTGCAGACCCGCAACATAAGGCTGGTGGACTGATTCCGATCTGACGACCACCATTTAAGGAATGCTGATCTAATACATCCTGTTTAAGTTGAATGAAAATTATTAAAAAATTAAATCTAGCCAATAGAAAAATAACGCTGCTGAGCCTGTCTACGTGATAAGACGTTGCCAGCATCCAACATTTCTTATGACTTAGGCGGGCTTGGCAGTATTATTTTTTTTTTATATGCTATATTTAAAATTGCTATCTCATTGTGTAAAACAAATAATCCAGCAGTCTTTTGAACTGTTCATCTTGAGAGAGACTGGTGGTCTAACTAAATCATATTGAGATAGAAGTCCAAATCTTTTTTTATAATAATATTTTCATCTCACTGTTGGTTACCATTCAAAATGGCTTTTATAAAAAAAATTTCTTCTTTTTTTTCTTTTTTTTAAATTAATTATTTTTAACAAAATTTTGTTATTAAAATTTTACAGTCTTTCCATTTCTACCCGTTTTTCAGATACAAGAGTACTTGCAAGACCTTCCTACTTTACTGAGGCATGCATTTCAGGAGTTCTTCAGTGTTGGTGGATTAATGTGGATGTTCCGATTCCGTATTGTAATTCTGGTTATTGCTGCCTTTATCTATTTGGTGTCTCCATTGGACATTTTACCAGAGGGTGCTTTTGGCCTGATAGGATTTCTAGATGACATTTTCATCCTTCTGTTTATAGCAGTTTATATTAGTATAATCTATAGACAGGTCGTCGCGGGACGAGGGGGATGATGATGGCCCTCTAGAGAGCTAGTAACTTATTCATGTAAAACGTATACCTTCATATTGACACGTATACCTACATATTCTAAGCTTTATGGGGAAAGTTTCCATTCAACATTTGTACAAAATTTATTTCATTAAAGGATAAGAATAAACGATAATTTTTTTTGTCTTTGTTACAAAAATTATTATTTTAGTATATTAGACACTAGTTTATTCCCCATAAAGCAAATGGCCTTTATCAGTTAATTTTTTTAGCTTTGTCACAAATTAATCAGACAGGACTTGGAAGCACTTCTTGATTGGCATTAGCTGCATTGTTACAAATGATGAGTGATTCTTGTAAAGGAATGTGTCAAAAGTTGGCCACCCAATGACATTTTATTGCCGGTACACAAATTAGTTGTCAGTTTTTACAATGCGTTTTCTCAAAAGAATTTCGCTGGACTACATTTTAATTTCTGGTGCTTATAAAATTTAATGAAACTTAAAATAAGTTGGTGACCTTCGTGACGCCACCGACCGCAATATTAGACTTCAAAGCAGATATTTAAATCACCCATAACAGCTGTCCACACCCGGTAACACACATTTTATTGATACACGTATATATTATATATTCATATAATTATATAATATACATTTATAAAAAAAAAACATGCTGTCTAATAATGTGTCAATAAATATGTCATGTTTGCATGATTGAATACTGCATATGGAGTAGCTGAACTCTTTCTTTATTGTAGTCTTGTTGGTGCATCATTTATTCCATTTTTAATATTTTTATTTTTCAATTAAAATTTAGTCACAATTTTATTTAAGATAACATAAGATACGATGTTTTTATTTCAAATTTATTTTAAACTTTGCTCATAGATTTATTTCAAATTTAATTGGCAATTATTATTATTTTTTATAAAATTAAATGTTAAAGAATTTTTAAATCTCATAAAAGTATTTAAAACTTAGTTTTAAAAATGATTTGACACTTAATTTGTGGTAATTTAAGATTTTTGTTTGTTTTTTTTTACATTTCAAAGTTCAAATATTATTTGTCAGTGTTATTTTGAAATAAGGTGTCGAAAACAAAAGTAATCCCGCTAAGAGGATACATTTCTTTTAGAGCACGCCAAAGAAGATCTACTTGAAGGAGCTGCCCAATGGTTTAAGGAAGACGACTGGCCATTTCAGTGCCTTCAAAGTTTGACATGCAGTCAGTTGTAACATTAATAATTATTTCAGTTTTGATGTTTTTAAATAACTTACCTTCTTTCTTTTTCTTAATATAATGCTTATGCCACAGACTCTATGTTGACATCTTCAAGTGCTACTACTACTTCTTCTATAGACTTAAACTCTATGTTGACATCTTCAAGTGCTACTACTACTTCTTCTATAGACTTAAACTCTATGTTGACATCTTCAAGTGCTACTACTACTTCTTCTATAGACTTAAACTCTATTTTGACATCTTCAAGTGCTACTACTACTTCTATAGACTTAAACTCTATGTTGACATCTTCAAGTGCTACTACTACTTCTTCTATAGACTTAAACTCTATGTTGACATCTTCAAGTGCTACTACTACTTCTTCTATAGACTTAAACTCTATGTTGACATCTTCAAGTACCATTACTACTACTGCTACTAGGCTAAAAATCTATGTTCAAGTTGGCACTAACTTGGCATCAAATGCTTTCTTTCAAATGTTGTCATTATTTCTTCCTATAAAAGCTCTTATTTTTATGGTTATGTAAATCCTTTGATCAATTTACAAAAGTGAACTTTAATCCACAAAGGTTTTTCCTGTTATTTCATGTATAATTTATGCATATGAATGAATAAAAATAAATGTATTATTAATATAAATTGTTTCAGCAATCTCTTTAAGCCAATATGCTATTTATGAATTTCAGTCACACACATTATGAAAAATTAAATATCTATCTGCTTACTGCAATAGTCTATTGATGAATGCACTTTAAGAAATTGTGGTTCATCTCTTCTTACTGAAACTGAAAAATACCCGTTAGAAGAGTTGCCGTTTTGTCATCCAGAATCAACAGATTACCTTCCCTAAGGTCTCCCAGAATCAACACATTAGCTTCCCTAAGGTCTCCCAGACTCAACACATTACCTTCCCTAAGGTCTACCAAAATCAACACATTACCTTCTTTAAGTTATCCCTGAGTCAACGCATTACCTTACATAAAGATCTCCCAGTCTCAACACATTACCTTCCCTAAGTTCTCCCACACTCAACACATTACCTTCCCTAAGTTCTCCCAGACTCAACACATTAGCTTCCCTTAGGTCGCCAGTCTCAACACATTACCTTCCCTAAGTTCTACCAGACTCAACACATTAGCTTCCCTAAGGTCTCCCAGTCTCAACACATTACCTTCCCTAAGGGATTTTTAGACAACACATTACCTTCCCTAAGGTTAGTTTTTAGATAAGAGACAGTTTCCTTAGCACACCTGTTATTTCCTAAACCATACCTGTGGCTCTTTATTGATTAATATAATAGTCTACTCCTCCTAACTCTTTCCATGCTAGGGGGTTTTCCATGTTTGTGCCATTACCTGTTTTCAGCCCACAGAAATACTTTATGGTGCTGTTATCAATTAATGAATTTTAAAACCCTATTTTTAGCAATACAGCTGTACTTCAAATCAAATTAAAGGAATTGAACAGAGAATAATAATATTTACAACATAAAATAAGACAATTTTAGTTTAAATATTATTGGTAATATGAGATCAAACTTTTTTAAAATGCTCACCTGCTTAATAAAAACAAAAAGGAAAACTACTTTAAAAAAAAATAAAATACTAACCTTCTGCTTACTATTGATTACCTATTAGAAAAAAAGTTGGTAATATTTCTACACACACAACTGCACTGTTGTAAAATACCATGAGAGTGACAGAAAAAAAAACTCTGATAAAATGTAAGTATTTTGGAAATTTTATTTTACTTTTTTGGTCCCACAATTAGATGAAAACGCAATTACATACAACAGTTTTGTGATGAAAACGTGTGTAAGACATTTTTATGAAAGACATGTCATTAAGTCATTCGGGTCAAAACTGAATTTTAAAAAGTTTCACTAAGATTTACATTTGTCAGTGCGGCTAAAAATAAGGCTAATTAATTTCTATTCACAGATAAATATTTCTCATTAGGATATGTTTGTACAAGAGATATTTAATGAATATTTTTAAAGTCATATTTTATCAAAATTTAAGTAAATTTACCAACTCATGACAAAATAATGACACAATAGTTGCATAAATATGAATGCAATTAAATTAAATTAATCTAAGGGGTCCAGTCAAGTTAAAAATATGCAATGTATGGCACTGAATGTCATTTAGGGGGTCCAGTCAAAGTGTAAATATGCAATATATGGCACTTGATGGCATCTTTAAAGTAGTTAAGTCAAGGCATAAATATGAAACATGCAATATTTAACACTGGGTGTCATCTTTAAGGTCATGCTGTCAAGGCATAAATATGCCATATATGGCAAGGAATGTCATCAAGGTGGCCAGTCAAGGCATACATATGCAATATTTAGAACTGCACATCATCTTTAAGTTTAAGGTTGTGTAGTCAAACTAGACCAAACAAAGTCATCTTTAAGGTGGTGCAGTCAATTTAGATTAAAGTAGTGAAGTCATAAAGTTATATATTTACAAAATACAATAAAGTCAAGCAATTTTTTTTTAAAATGCCTTTAATTTATCTTTAAGTTAGTCAAGGTAAATGAAAAATTCTCACAATTTGTTTTATAATTTTTTTTTATTTGCTGATGATTTAGAAACATGTGGCCTGGATTCCTAGAAATATTTGGTATGGATTCCTAGATATATTTGGTCTGGATTCCTAAGTTGCAGAATTTTGAAAGAATGAAATAACCTCCATTTGATCTATAAATAGTTTCTATGAAATCCCCATTGTTTGAACTAAGATCAGGTAAAAGCTTAAAGGGAAATTCCCAGACTAAATTTAAATGTAGACAAAGTTGATTCTTGATATCAATCATGAAGGTATAGTCAGATCTAAAATATTAACTTTTGTGGAGGAAATTGTGTTTGCATTAATCCTACATCAAGAATAACAGGTGAAGCTGTCCTTGTGAAAATGTTATTCAGTCATAAGGAAATATTTTAATTTAAAGGGATTTATATTGTTATAATAAGATATAATAATATAAGAGTAGGCACATTGCTCAGCTGTAAAAAAAAACCAACAAGGTTATTTAAACATATTTATTTAAGAAAAAAATAATTTTTAGTCATTGGAAAAGTGGGCAGCAGACAATGAATCCTCCCCAACAATAGAGTTTCACAAAATGAAACAAATTATCACAAATGCATTCACCTCATATGTTTACTGGTGCCTTTAGACTAGGTCAAAAGTACTAAACAGTAATTTTTGTCTTTATATCAACATGTCACAGGGCCCATTTACAACAAATATTAGAAATTAAATACAGCTTCGGGGCCATCCATAAATGATGTCACGCTTCTAGGTAGGAAAGAGGGGGTCACAAATTTGTAATGATGTATAAGTTAGTATAAAGAGAGGGTCTAAATTTGTGACAAATATGTGATGCTGGTGGAAGGGGGCAAAAATCAGTCAAAAATAACTGAACTTCAGTTATGGATGGTGCCTTACTAGAGCTACACAAAAATACCTCATTCATGATTAATAACATTGACAAAATTCGTAGCATTTATCTCATCACACCTTGACAGAAGCTGTTTGTTACCTTATTGTAAACAAAATGATACTAATAAACTAGTAACTCTGATCAAATAAAAAGATTAATGAACACTATTGGAAAATCTCACCTTGTAAATAAACATAGAAATAGGATTTCCTGTTGTCTAAAAATGTTATTATAGATGACCTAACAGTGAACCCTTTGGATTTCCAAATGAAGATCTCAGTGATGGTCATATCTTTGCTGCCAAGAATCTTGGACATTTAAGGTGCAGGCCTTCCCTGCTCAAGTCTGTTTAGGAAAGCTTCTCGTTTTCTGTGGGTAAAAATGACAGGACGTAACCATGTTGATGTAAAGGAAGACAACGATTTTTGTGCATAAAAATGTGTCCACGTGTAGGGCATAGGTGTGTGCCAGGGGTGTGATTGGTCATTTAAGAGCTTGTCATACAAAGTTTCTACAATTCTGAACCAAGTGAAAGACCAAATGTCTAAAAAAAAATATTTTCAAAATGTCATTTCATTCTTATCTGAAGCAGAAAAAGCCTTTGAGAGTGAAACCAAAATACTGTGCAGATATTTTCATAATGGAATACTTGCTGTATGCAGCGAGAAAGAAGCATTTAAATTTTTTTTATCAAATCATTTTCATTGTTAAGTCTAAGCTTTAGAAAAAACTTTCTATAGTTATGCAAATGATGAAAAGTAATGACAATATTAAAAAAAAAATTCAATTATAAAACTATGAGGATTATTTTTTTCTCTTCTTTCTATTCCCAAGGGCAAGGTCAATCTTTTGGGAAAGGCAGGTCAATGTCTTGGGAATGCCAGGTCAATGTTTTGTGAATGGCAGGTCAATGTTTTGGGAATGCCAGGTCAATGTTTTGTGAATGGCCAACATATATATTATCACAGACTTCAAAAAGCCTAGATCCCGGACCTCACGTGCTCTGGGCACGTTTTCCGAACTAGCCTTTGGGACAATCCAGCCCTTCTGAAATTAAAAGTGTATTTTTATTCTTCTTGTACGTAATGGCCAGTATTTATTTTATTTTTCATTAATACCCCATTAGCTTCATCTTGGAAGATATTTTTGATTACGGAATTGGCAAAATAAAAGTACCAACCTTCTCACATCTTCAGGTTGAGCAATACGGGACTGTTCCCTGATGGCATTCTGTTCAGCCTTTTTAATATTAAACAATATTTTAAAATAAAATTTGAATAAACTTGACAAACAAAATTTAAAATTGAATTTTTATAATACATTTTATGTGCCATTACTAAAACCTACAAAAAATAATAATATATTCATTACCGGTAATCTTGTATACAAATAGTAGGTAATGTCAAAATAATTGTTACTATAAATAATTCATTTAAATAATATGATGAGCTCGTCATATATCTCCCTCAAATCTTAACATAGAATAAAAAGATTAGCCTCCCACATTTGTTAACTATAGCATGAGATCATTCTTTATTCAAGGGAGTGAATGTAGAAGTATTTTTTACTTGTGGCTTTACTAGAACAAATATTTCTAATCTTCAACAGAATTATTGTTTAATAAAAACTGCGTCCCATCTCACAATGCAGAGACCAGTAAGGTCTAGTGGTTAGGGTCCGGTGGTTAGGGTCCAGTGGTTAGGGTCCAGTGGTTGGGGTCCCGTGGTTGGGGTTCAGTGGTTAGGGTCCCATTTTTGGGGTCCCGTGGTTTTGGTCCCGTGGTTGGGGTCACCTGATGTAGATCTTAAAGTGCTCAAATAATTAAGTGTAAACAGAAAACTTACTTTTCTCCTGGCCTCTGCCCTTTTCTCTTCAATAACCTTTTCTTCTGCCCTCTTCGTTTCTTCCCGCTGAGCTTCCTGTCGTTGCTGATGATAAAATTTAAACAAAATAAATAATAACCGCTCCTCTACAGGAATGAATTCTTGTGGACAGAATCCCATAAAATCTACAACTATAATTTAGTTCACATAAGCTGTAACAGAACAATTAAAATATGTAGAAATCACAGGATATCCCCCAATAGTTACATTCTCCTGAATATACTATAATAAAAATGTTTAAGGCCAAAAAAGAAAACTATGAAAATATACAATTTAAACAAAATAACTTTTTAAACAGTTTAAATAGTTTACATATTTTTAATAATTGTAAAGCGCTTAGAGCTGTAAGGTAAGCGCTATACAAAAATGCCTCAATAAATCAATATCCAGAACGACACCAATCAGTGACCATATAACATAGCAACCAGAAACATTCATCAATAATCTCCCCTTAGCTGCTCATACATTCCAATATAATCACATTATTTACAACCATTCCTAATCCATAAATCACATATTTTAAATGAAATAGCTTATTTAAAGTCCAAATTTCATCAAATTTTGATTACCTTTATTTGACACAGGTTGGTAGTGATTTTGTCAAAAATGACCTCAGGTGATGTATTTTAAATCAATAAATGTAATTATAGATAATTCTTTGGTTAATTATGTCAGCTGTAGTCATAAAGACTCCTGTCATTAAACTAACCAAGAGAAAACAATATTTTCCAACTTGAAAATGTTATTGTGTCTGCATCTTATAGCCTCTCTTATAGCTGTACCAGGGAAAATGTTGTTAGTTTTTGTTATTTTTATTTTTTCCATTATGTGGAAGTAAAACGTCAAGAAAGAAAAATTGAAATCAATAAGAAACCTTAAGCATGTTAAAAATTATACCCCTCTTGACTTTGGATTTCATCCATTTGATGATTTCACTAATTTAAAATATGTTTGAAAATAATAAAGGAATACAATAAATTTCACTATTTTTACTGTGGCAAAATTTTATTTCATTAAAAAAAATGGTAAAATTGAATCCAACATAGGATTATTATAGTCTTTGAGAGTCATAAAATAAGATAGAAGCTTTATTGAAATAAAAACATACTGAATCAAATAAGGCAAATACTGACCAGTCTATGTAAGTTCTGATCCCTGACATACTGATTCAAACAAAGCAAATACTGACCAGTCTATTTAACTTCTGATCCCTGACCGCTTTAGCTTGCCTTAGCCTGACCTGCTCTTCAGTCATATCAGATCCACCTGCGCATGTCAGTTGATTTCGTTATCAAATAATCTCAGAGCAGAGCAATAATAATAGCAAGTCGAAGAAATACATTTTTTTTTATATCAGGTTTAAAACTAAATTAATTTAAGTTTCCCATTGTAAACCATCACCTACAAATTTGATGTTAATACAAAACCCAGGTCACTTTTTTTAACATTCATCCCCTCCCCTGGTAAGCAACCAACAATAAATTCCATAAAAGTTAGTGCACAGAGCTCAAGCCACTATTTTAAAAACTTTATACCGGCCCTTCCAACAAAGTTGACTTGTCTTATGGCTGTGGCTTGTTTATACTGCTGATACTGCTGGGCCTCTCTCTGTGCCACTGTCAATAAGAATAATTTAAAATAGGTGAAAATGTACATTTTATTAGAATGAATGTAATAACTATCTTTTTTTTTACAAGAAGGTGTACCACTATCAGGATATCAAATGAAATATAAGAGTAACCTGATTGAGTGTAGTCAAGATTAATCCTAAAGTTAACTCATTGTTGAATAAATTAAATCCTAAAATACTAGAAGTAATAAAAAAAAACAACTCCAGATTTGCAAGACCCAGACTAAACAGAAATTAAAATTTACATGAAAAAAAAGTACAATAACATTTTTTATAATATATCCTAATGAAATAAGAACCAAATTTTACTTCAGTCTTGTAACACTCACTTGCACTAACTTGTGCACGTTTCCTTTCATTTGGTTGAAACACTGTGTATGCCCCTGTGCTAATGAAATATATAAACTTTCAACCTAAGAGACCGTTATATCCTTTTAAATCAAGAATTATGTCATAGGCCTATTTAATGAACACAAAATAAGTTTATTATACTTTTCTTTTAAACCTTTAAAATCATTAATTTCATGCCATACTATTAAAAGTGAAATATGTATTAACATTTTCTTTTTTCAAATTAACAACAACTTTAACAATATATATATGTATATAAAGTGTTTGCACAGGTACCAAGAATTATTATTTCCATTACTAGAAATATTCCATCAAAATTATGGAAATTAAATTTTCTATTCTCTCAAAATTTGGCTATGATAAATTTTACAAAAGATGAAATAAAATCTATTTCAAAATAAGGATGAGAAAATTGAAAGTCACCCTGTAATTGACAGGCAAGCATTCTATCAATGCATTACAGACCATAATGGTTAATTTGTAAATTTTTGAAGCAGGATGTAAATGGAAGGACCAGTTCTAAATTCAGAATTATTTCTCCTGGCCTGGCAGAGAATGTATGTTAGTAATGATAAGTTAGATGAAATTAAGACAAGAATCTGTTGACTTCCACAGATTAATTTGGTAAAGCTAAAGCAAACCAACCCGGGAACAATGCTAAATCGCTTTATGAGGCTAACATGCTTTATGTGAAGGTCATGTATTATGTGACTGTCATTTTTTTTACGTGATAGTCATGTTTAATGTGACTGTCAGCCATTCATGTTTTATGTGACTGTCAGTCATTCATGTTTTATGTGACTCTCAGTCATTCATGTTTTATATGACTGTCATGTTTTATGTGACAAATCAACTTACTACTGCCCTCTTGTTGGGTCTGTATTTTGTTGTGGTGTGTTGCTTGATGCCTCATCTTGAACATCATCATGCTCATCTTGGTATGGGTTGCCTCCATAACCAGCTGGAAGTGAATCAGAACAGAACTGATGACTAAAATATTTATATAAATTGTATTAGAAATTACCATTAAGATGAAGAAGGCAAATAAATTATGTTTTTGTAATACCAAAATTCAAAAGAAAAACCTCAAGTAACATCATTATAATTTATTAGGTTTAGGCATAAAAGTTTTACTTTAGTTCTCTGAGAGTGATCTAATATTATAAAAATGAAAGAGAAGCTTGGTGTGAATGTATGATAACTTTAAATGCTCAAACAGATTCAGAAAAAGCCCTTCTCTTTTGGTACCTGAATCCTAACAAAAGATGTGCAGGTGAAAATGATTCTAATTTATTCCACAAAGATAAATTTCCTTTCATAATTTTTTGTTAATGATAAGATTATTACTCGATGACAAGTTCCTAATTTAAAAGCTGTATCAGGGTAATTTGTAATTTTTCATTTCAAGAGATTATTGATTAATGAATGAATAAATTATAATACTTTAAGTTGGAAAACTAAGTTAACGGTTTCTTTTAAATCTACCATGTTTGCCATACTAATGGAGAAACTAACGTGAACCATATTCTTTGATGTAATCAACCCTTTTGCATTCATGGACATAAATTTCCCTGTTAAACTGCTTTGTTTACGAGGATAAGAAATTAACAGAAGTTAAAATAAAGAGATCCCTTTTACTATGTTTGTTGCTCTGGGTTGTGTTCACCATTGTCATCATTATTTGGCTATAAATAATTACATTTTTTTTGTTTTTTTTAAATAGACAATGTTGTTTTCAGCAAGGTTAAGATCTTGCAAAAGATTTATTTACAGTTTTTTTTCCAATAAAAAAAAACAGACACAATGTGGATAACCAAAAATGTATTTGCTTTATAACAATCCTGTGCTACTTGGTCATCAAATCATACATTTATTTTTATGCTGTCAAAGATCCTAAATCTCTAGCAATGTTTTTGTATTTAAAAAAAGTATTGACTAAGACTGAATTCAAGCACACACTCATCCCAATAGAAGAAAGAAAATGTATGTTCACAAACATCTTATTGTCCCATCAAGGCATATAGTCTTTAGTTAAATAATATCCTAGAGAATACCAGTCCAGCAATGACAAATATTTCTGATGGCTAAGCAGTAAGCTCAACTAATAAGGTTAAACTCATTATATGAGTTTAACTTTTCTATTAGTCATATTGTTAACTGCCTTATTATTAATATTTTCTCACTGATTTCTCCTAAAGTCAATAAATTTAAAGAGACATAAAAGTACACACAATTTTAATTAGGCCTACTTATTTTTTTTAAAAGTATAATCATTGAATTCATCTTATCAAATTTTATCTTCACCTGGCCACAGTTTTTTATAATATTACTCTTACCTCTTAAATGATTGGTAGGCCTACTTCTTGTAGCATGATTACCGGTAGCCCTATCATACTGGTTATGGTAGTTATTATTAAACCCTTGTCCTCTGCCACTGTTCATGTTAGAATTGAATGTGTGATGAACTTGTGATCTATTAATTCTATTAGTATCACTCTCACTCATATCACTGGGAACATCTAACGCTGTCCCTCTTCCCCTGGATCTCGTTGATGTTGTTGTACCTCGTCCTCTACCTCTCCCTCTATTTTGCACAGCTGGCCTAGAAGTGAATGTCTTACTCATTTCAGAGCGCTTGTTCCCTTTCTTAGATTATTCTTAGAATTTGTCAATATTTGAAACTGAAACCACGAACTCCCGAAAAGTTAAAAAACAAAATTGACAAATAAATCGGGTAATATTTAAGTTAATTTAAGGCAAGGGACATTTCATTTTATTATCCGAAACCGAAACAGTATAGGCACAGGTTAACAACGTAAACGATAAATGGAGCCTGAAATAACCGTATTGGGAGATACGAATAAGGCGAACTATTTTCCCAATTTTTATTTACTTATCTTAGCCTATGGTATTATGATTAAAAATATTCACTTGGTTCACTTAGGCCAGTTGTTGATGTTTGTAGTTACGGATACATAGAAATGTATAACTCTTCTTTCACTTCCGATTTTAACGAAATAAATATTTTAGGAAATTTAAAAAATCAGCTCAGGAAATTCCCTAATCAAGGGAGGAAACATCCATAATCATGCCGATTCCGAAAAGCGCATCAGATTTACCTGATCAGCTCTAGTTTTTAATGATAAGATTTAATTTATAATATTTTAGTACAATATATGACTCTATTTTTTTGCGTTTTGTGTTTCAATGTGGTAAAATATAGATTGTTTCATTTCTCTTTTAATATGGTTGACTTTGTACCGCGCTTCGAGCCTTTGGGGATGAAGCGTGATTTTTTAAAATAAACTTTATTATTATTATTTAGTTTACAAAATTTGGGAGCTTCAAAAAAATTCTTTTGTTTTTTCAATAATTTTTATTTAACATGGAAAATTCTATGTGGGGCTAGTATTTTTACCCCCACCCCTCCCTTTTACCTTTCCCGCCCATGAAAAACCTGATGTGTACTTTGACCATCACAGGGGTGATGGGGTAGCTGGACTCCAGGGTCATATTTACGAAAGTGCAAACTATTTCTTTGTTCTCCACATTAACCGGTAATTTTTTAATTTTTTTTTTAAGTGTGTGGTTGCGGAGGAAAAGGGGGGGGGGGGGGGGGGGGTTACCCGATTATAATTGTAAAAACTAAAAAGCATTAAATCAATTTTCTGGAATTTAAAAGTTATTTTCAACTATTTGCAATATTACTCAGTCAGCTTTCCTACCAACAAAACCCTTGCAACATTGTCCTTTCGTCTGTCAATTCATGATTGCTTAAAAAAAAACATTCAGTGCATATTTTAAAGGGGTATGGCGTTCCACATTTTATTTCATCTTGTAATCCTACGACTTGTTCAATTCTGTAGCCTACGATCTTCAAAGGTTTCCAGGAAATGAACGAAACAACGTGAGGGCGAACAAAGAAAAGAAAAAGGGCGCAACAAAACAAAGAACGTGTCGACAAGACGCCTTCTTCAACTAACAAACAACAGTAAAAAAAAACAACAACAATATAAAATTAAAATAAACGCTTAGTTGCAATGAGGTAGCCGAGAGAACTGCAAGAAGAATGTAATAGAACATAATTAGGTGATGGAGTTGATACAGGCACGTTGGGACTGAAGAGAGGAAAAATAAGTCCACTGTGTTTGGTCGTAACAAGAGGGCGGAGAAAAGGTTTGCCAAGTGAATAAGAGCATGGCATTCATGCCATGTGGTGTAAAGGTTCCATTAGTCTGAATAAGTCTTTTTTTTCCAAGTTCATCCGGTCTGGCGTGTTTGTACAGTACACAATAGCGGTGATAACAAAATCCATTGAGTCCTTTGGCCGCTTCTAATGGACAGTTTTGAGATGGAACTTTGCTTAATATCATGCGCAATTTTAGGAAGGTTTTCAGTACATCTGTCCGAGAGGTGGCGTCCAGTCTCACCTAAATACGCCATCTGGCAGCGGGTACAAACAAGGGCGTAGACCACGTTCCGGCCACTACAAGGAAACAGTCCCGAGTCTGAAAACTGCCCTTAGGGAAGGGAACGTGTTGAGTCTGGATGAAAAAAAAAGGTGCCACGTTTTGCAACAGCTGCTTCCACATAGCGTAGTCCTAAAGTGGGAGGGGACAGCGTTGAAACGACTACCCATCTCCTTGTGCCGGTTAAGAATTTAGCAAATTGTGTTCAGAGCTTGAACGCAAAGCTTCAAAGTAAAATACAGTTATGCCTTGCATCCTTCAATCCCGAAAATCCAAATCCTTTTCGTTGCAGTGGGTCAAAGATGCCACCCCTTAAAACAGTGGTTCTCAAACCGTGGCTCGCGACCCCTTTGGGGGGTCGAACAGCCCTTCCGCAGGGGTAGCCTAAATCCATCGGAAAATACATATACTCTACAGTTATAAAGAAACATCAAAAATAATTTTTTTGTTCCAAGTTTAAAGCATTTGCGCATAGATTTTATTTCCAGTTAGTAGGAAACGTAACCACAAGTTGGAAAAAGAACCTGTATGGGTTACTTAGAGCAAAGTATCGGAACCGGGATAAGCCATGGGTTATTTTGATCCTGCATCGAGACCAAGATAAGCCATTGGTTATTTAGGGCCATCATTGAGACCAAGATAAGCCATTGGTTATTTAGAGCCAACATCGAGACCAGGATAAGCCATGGGTTATTTAGAGCCAGCATCGAGACCAAGATAAGCCATAGGTTATTTAGAGCCAGCATCGAGACCAAGATAAGCCATGGGTTATTTAGAGCCAGCATCGAGACCAGGATAAGCCATGGGTTATTTAGAGCCAACATCGAGACCAGGATAAGCCATGGGTTATTTAGAGCCAGCATCGAGTAATACATTAATCAATAAAGAGTCAGGTTTGGCTTAAGACTATATGTAGGAATGTCTGTAGGCCTATTGTTTAAAGACTGGCAGGTAGGGTGTAGGTCTGTCTGTTGGACTATTGTTTAAAGGCGGCAGATAGGATGTAGGACTTTCTGTAGTCCTATTTTTAAAGGCCGGCAGATAGGATGTAAGACTGTATGTAAGCCTATTGTTTAATTAAAGGCCGACATATTAGTATGTAGGACTTTCTATATGGCCTATTTTTAAAGGCAGGTAGGTAGGGTATAGGACTATTCGTAGGTCTATTTTTTAAGGCCGACAGGTAGGGTGTAGGACTTTCTATAGGGCCTATTTTTAAAGGCCGATAGGTAGGGTGTAGGACTTTCTATAGGGCCTATTTTTAAAGGCCGACAGGTAGGGTGTAGAACTGTTCGTAGGCCTATTGCGTAAAAGCCGGAATACATTAAAGACGATGAGAAGTTAACAATTTTTCTTATGTCACATTGGGACCCACCGGGTATTTTCTCAAAATAGTCGGACCCAGTGTAAAAAAAAACAACAAACAACTGCAACCGGTTAAGCCCTAGTTGGTAATATTTCACAGTGCCCATTTTAGGCGTAACTAAACGAGCTGATGTTTCTTTTAGAAATGATGACGCTTACCTATGTAATAATCTACGTCCGACACATACGTTTATTATTTAATTCCACCTTATTGTTCATCAAGTCCCGTAGCCTTTTGTATAATTAAAGGGAGACTTAAGAAATTCAACCAAATTTTATAACTAATCGAATTAACAGTTCAGATTAACATTTACTGGTATATGAATGGCTTGTACCAGCCTACTTGACCATACATAAGTGGATTATTTTGTTCTCTTTTTTTAAAACCTCTTTTTCTCTTGTTCTTTTTTTTCTCTTTTTATTTACTTCTTTCCTTTTTTTTAAAGTGAATAAAAAAAAAAAAAGATTTTTTCGTTTTTTTTTTGTTTAAAAACACTGTTTTTTGTTTGTTTTTTTTTTTTTTTTTTTTTTTTTTTTTTTTTTTAAATTTTTTTTTTTTTTTTTTTTTTTAATTTTTTTTTTTTTTTTTTTTTTTTTTTTTTTTTTTTTTTTTTTTTTTTTTTTAAATAATTGTTTTCTAACATACGTAAAAATAAAGATCCCACCAATAAATGGTTTATTTTATAAAACGAATATTATTGTATGTCTGTGGCTTTGTCATTGGCAACAATAAATGTCAAAGCATAACTTCTGGCTCATTATAAATACTTACATTCCAACTACGTGGGAAACCACCAGGCGCACCAATTGTTGTATTTCAAAATCTGCTAAGAGTTGTTTAAGTTATTCGCCTTGAATTTAAAAAATTAATAATAATCGATTCCCCCCCCCCCTGAAATGAGCACACTTTTTAAATCTCTCATTCTCTTTTTTTTCCTCCTGTTAATTTGTTGTAAAACTCAAGAAAAATAATATTTCCGAGCAAAGACTTCAAAGTAGCACACATTTTAATTTTGTGTGTTAGAAAGGTAAAGTGAACATTTTTCAAACTTGAAACTAGGACATTTACAATTTTCAAACTTGAAACAAAGATATTTACCATTTTTAAATGTGAAACTACGACATTAACAATTTTCAAACTTGAAACTAGGACATTTACAATTTTGCAAACTTGAAAATAGGACATTTACAATTTTGCAAACTTACAACTAGGACATTTACAATTTTCAAATTTGAAACTAGGACATTTACAATTTTAAAATTTGAAAATAGGACAATCACAATTTTCAAACTTGAAAACAGACCATGTACAATTTTTAAACTTCAAACTAGCACACTTACATTTTTTAAAATTGAAACTAGGACATTTACAATTTCTTAAACGTGAAACTAGGACACATAAACTCGTTTTGGTGACATGGATATCAAATCTAAAATAAATAATGTTTGTAGTTACAAAAAGACCTCTAATGACTCCGAGGCGTTCGTTTTTAAAAATAAATATTAATATTGGTGCGGTGAACCAGAGTTGGATGAACTAGATTTATTCGTTTAGTCGTGTTATCTATTAATGGATGGATATCAGATGAACTCATTTTGACGTCTTTATCTATGTCGGTTACAACTCAGGACGAACGAGCAATTGGGTGAGGCTGGGTATTTGACAAAACGTGCAAACAAGTAAAGCACTGTATATGAATACAAGAACAAAAATAAGTGTCTATCAGGCATGCGAGCTTATCACGCTCCTATATGGTAGCGAAGTGTGCACCACATAATATACCAATCAGGAGCGGAAACTCAACAGCTTCCATCAAAGATGTCTGCGTCGCATTTTACGCATTCGGTGGCAGGACAAGGTGCCTAGCACGGAGGTCTTGGTACGTGCACACATGTTTAACATATTCTCCTTTCTTATCAAGAGAAGCCTTCGCTGGTTAGGTCATGTACGGAGAAGGGAGGAAGGACGTATCCCAAAGATGCTGCTGTATGGAGAGTTGGCAGAAGGAACATGACTTGTTGGACGGCCACGCCTCAGATTTATGGACGTTTGCAAAAGGAGCATGAAGGAGGCCCATATTGAAAAAAACGAATGGGAGCCCATTGCCGAACAACGTAACCAGCTGACGAACAGGAG